TACAGTTGGTGGTGAAGATGAAGATAGAAGAAGATAGAACGGGCAAACAGCATCATGTTCACGAGTTTTATGATGAAAAAAAAACAAGTGTAAGGGGAACAGAATAAGCAAATTCATTTGAGCGAACTGCATGCACGCAGCACAAGAGTATCGATAAGACATTGAATTTCAAACAATGAGCAAGTAACAACAGGTTGCGCTTTAGGATTAGATCCGTTTTGAAGTGAACACATCATGTTGAACCTGATTACGGAAGGGAAAGGAGATTTTGTACACCAAATAGTGAAATTATCAAGGCAGGTGAATTTCCGTAAGGAATCTACAACCGGAGCCTTATGCTAGCCAAAGCTTGACACGCAAGGCAGCTGGACGGTGTAGGAAAACCGCAGTCTATTGGGGGCCGGTGTCCACCTCCTCGGACCATAAGCGTAGGATGAGCACGAAAATGAAGAACNCATAAGAAGAAACCCAACAAGTGCGTTGAATTAGTGACGTGGAAGAAGTTTGTACCGAAGTTCTGCTTAGAGAAAGATGAGTTTTGAAGATGAATAAACATGAAAAAATTAAGAGAACCGAAAGCAGAAATAAGATCAGGACCAGAATTGAGGAAAATGGTAACGAAGGAACGGTCATTACTTATGATGGTAGAACGAATCGTATGACAGGATGGAATACAACATTAAGTGCTACCGTTTGCTTATCAAGAGTTATTAGTGAAAAAAATAGGTGATAAGTAAAAAACAGGAGCGGGGGGGGAGTATGAGCCTCGGAGGTACAACAGCATTCCACACGAAGAGGACGAAATGTGGTCCTCTCCACTTCGGACAAAAATCATGCAGTCACTTAGCAAATCTGACATGCGGGACACAAGTCCCATGGGGATGAGGGACTTTGGAAGTATGCCGAAATCACGCTTGCCAGATATATTCGAAAACGATTGACCTGTTTACACGAAATCATTTAGGTTTCTCCGGGACTGGGCACTGCTAACTGAAGTTTTCAAAATGAGTGCCTGAGACTTTAGGGCACGAAACACTATGGTAACTGACGCCGACGAAGGTATTTTTCTCGAGGAACCCCTACGGAAGTCTGACTCACAGGGCAGCCGGGAGTAGATTCAACGAAGGAACGTGATCAACTCATTTGAGTGGGAGTTTCTATAGACGTATCACTTAACGCCTTTAGGATTCAGTTCAATGTGTTGTTCACTGGTACATTCACTGACGGTCCATTGTTAGCCTCACGCACCCAATGAGACCAGCGGAACATGGACAGGATAGCTCCTCAGTGGCTGGAGGCTGCCCGGCTTGGGTGGGAGGTAGCTGTTCAATAAGGTGCGAAGCCTTCTCCCAATATCATGAGGCAGTCCCGAGTAACCCGCTCCCGCATTCATCTAGCGGTTTTTTCGACCTCCATATTTGTTTACCGGAGTGATCTCTCCACGGGCGCGAGTGAATTTTAAGACAGAGGGGAAGTGTCCAATCAGTTTACCTTCATGACGAGCTTATTCTAGACTCTACCCATTGACATTTCAGGCATGATTTGATCTGCGGGCTATGGCATCGAACCGAGTTCATTGGCGTGAATGTCAAAATCGCGTGCAGTAAAAAAACTAAATATCTGTTATTCCTAAAGTTGACTGCTTTTTTATTTTTCCTTTTATTGTTTATATGTTTTGCTTTATTTTGGCACCATATCTGTAAAGAGCTGTCTATCCAATAATTACTCGGTGTTGCAAACAAGGTTATTGTGGCGAAAATACACTTTCTGTGTACAAGTATATGAATGAAAAGACAAAAGACTTCCGAATGGGCATGCCTGGCGAGCGGCAAGAACCGAGAAACCGGTTGTGTGCTTCCAGGGAAATTTTGTTTGGTTATGGTTACATTAAAAGACGCTTATTCAGAGAGCCGCACACCTCGAGGTTAACTTTCTAAGATCAACCTGTATGTTTTTTGGATCGTTTTCAGTTCGTTCAGTATTGTGGATAATATGTGAGCAGTTTGTAGCCAAATAATTTATCAATTTATTTGTTCAATGTTCAATGTTCTTCAATGTTCTTCAATTAGAGGCAGAGGGTAATTTCCCGAATGAGCCTCATCGCCACAGACTCGAAGATCTCATTCATGATAGATCTGAATACCACATTGTTCGCAGGACGCTGT